GTGGGATTTTCGCGTACGCCAGAAAGACGGGTATGATTCCAGCGCAGTGAAGTTGAATTTTCTGAGTTTTGGGGGTCGTGGGAAGAAATTGTTGTTTCGTTTCTTGAGAGTAATTTCTTTGCTTGCTATAGAAGTGACTGTCTTGCTAAAGTTTATTAATGAATCAATAATACAGACTCAACTGATCCATCATATAATCTAGGAACCGAAAATACTTACCCTTGGAATTAAAGTCTGAGATGAGTCTTGTATTGTAGTTTTAGCTTCTCTAGATGTTGCCTCCATCTGTTGCAGAAGGGATTATGAAAGCATTTAATTGCCATTGCTGCGAAGTTTGATTTTAAGATGTTACATTTTTCAATATTTGCTTGTCTTTATGAGTTTTGATCTCGTGCTTCTTTGTGGAAAACTCATGGGTTCTGTTCCTGTTGTGTGGGGACTAGATGTTGAATGGTACAACGGGCATCTCCGTATTTCTACAATGGTATGATATCGTCTATTTTTTGCTTATGCCTGTGTAGTTTTGCTTTTATATTCCACCCATCAATGAAGATGTTATGCTAATATATTTAGGATCTCATCCACTCCCAAAATGAATGTGGACTATGTCTGCATGCCCAAGTATGTGGAGTGCTTTTATTTTTGACTTTTAGGTGCTTCAATGTTAATGAATCTTTCTAATTAAATTTAAGACCGAGTCTGAAGTTATCTTGTTCATGTCTTTATATGAATATGTGCACATACCTTTAGGCTACAGCATGCAAAAGATAATTTTAAGATTTTCTAACCAATTATGGATTATGGTATTGCCAATGTACCTAGGACTTTTATTARCTTTGGGTTTTGCTATATTGGATAGTTTTGCTTTTTGACCACTAGAGTTTCTGAAAATGAGCTTTCTGGTTTCATTTTTCTTTCCCTTCTGAGCTTGCTCTTGCTGACATTGCTCTGTCTCTAGGTCATGTATGATATGAGAGATAAACTAGTGCCTTGATCAACTACTTGTGGCTCATATAGTGCTGTTTAGCTTCCTATCTATAGAAATACATTTCTGTTATTTATAATCAGAAGGCATTACAAGGGCCGAGGGAGAATTAGAGAGCTTTCGGATCTCTCCCAAATAGTTCCAGACAAAATAGCCAAAAGATACCCCTCTACCTCACTACCTAAGGTGTATATACCTTATACAAAATATCCACACTACCCTTTTCTACCATATAGTGGTCCATTTACAGTGGTTTTCTTCCTTTTTCTCCTTAGAATTCGAGGACACAGTTGTACAACCTATAGAACAAATCCTGTTCAAGTAAGGTCGTTTTCCTTTCCTCTATTGTACTAGCACGTCTCCTCTTCCTAGAGTAAACGTTCTTCACCCTAAGCCTGAAATGTGAATTTTCAGTGACACCACTAATGCAGTTTTTAGCCGTTGATTCTATTCTATCGGGTGTTATTGAATCGTTATTGGATAGAATAACTGGTTCTGGAGTCCACTTCTGCCAAGATCTATACTCTGTCGTGAATATAACATCCTTTGCCTCACCTAAAATCATCTGTTTTAGCAGTTTTGTTTTACTCTGTTGTGAGTTTTTATACTTGATTTTGTCCTCTTGATTTTTATTCTTCTAGTAATGCGTTAGGTTCATTCTTTAAATGATAATCAGGAAGATTAGCTAGTGAAAATTTTTGTAAGAAGCTCACTGCTGCCAATCTTGAGCTGGGTGGTACTTGTTTCTTGTGCAATTTTAGATGCCTTATTCTATCGGGTTTTTGGGGCTGCCTAGCAAGAAGCAAATAGCAACGCTCAAGTCAATGCAATTCTCTGATTATCAATAAAATGAGAGCAATTTTGCCCAAGCAGAGACACCCCGAACAGCGATGTCGAGGTTTTAATTTTATGGAAATATCATAAATGATGTTAATAGATATTTCTTGAAAAATTATAAAAATGAAAAATTCGTATATTTAAATCGTCAAATAAGCATTACAAATTTCATATTTTTTTTAAAATAAGTTTTAAAATTATGTCCACAGTGATATTAGGTTGATATTTTTATATTTTGACTATTTCTTTTATATTGCTATAGAAATGTGAAAATGTTGACATGTCAATGGAAATTTAATATCTTATCACCCACTGACCATGCTACGTGGATCAGTCAATATTATTTGTTGTCGACGAAAATTTAATATCCTATATCACCTATCGGTCATGTCATACATAACAGTGAACATTATTCGTGAACATTATTCGTATTAACTAGCAATGTTTGTAAGGTAGGTTAATCACACTTTAAGAATAAAAAAAATTCCTTCTATTGTGTATCCCCGGTTAATGTAATCTTAGATGCTTTAATTTTTTATTCTGTGAAAGGTGTAACCTACGGATTAAGTAAAAGTACTATGCCCCGTTTAATCCAGTATGCTTCCAATCAATTTTTACTTGTTATTTTATTGTGTGCTTATGGAGGAGCACGCATGCAAGAATGAAATTTGAGCTCAATGCAAATGGCAAAAATCTCTTCGGCTTTATATGCTTATCAATCAAATAAAAAATGACTACCATTTTAGGTATTCACTTAATTTTGTCCAAGTATATGTGCTTTTCCTTTAGTATTCAAAGCTCTTGGGGGCTTATATGATACTTGGGCTCCTGGGACTCGACAATTCATGAGACGAGCAAGAGTGTGGGCGCTTCTCTCTAAAGAGTCGGGAGGGATGAGACAAGAGGTTTGATGGGTGGTAATTTTGCTCGGATGGACATACCCTTCCATGGAGGTGGGAGAGTGACCTCCATAATCTCCTACCCTTAGCAAGTTATGTAAGTAGACACTATAAATACAGAAATTCAAGGTGCTACATCATTATTAAAGTGCACAATACTTCCCCTTGTTAAGCTTTGGTATTGGATGATGATCAAGCTTTGTCCTTCTCAAAAAATATTTAGGTGCTAATCACTTTTAAATTTTTTACAAGTGGGAGAGATGTAGGAAAAGAAATATCTTTTTTATTTTTTCAAAAAATTAAAAAAAGTTGTCCAGCTTTTATTGATGGTCGACATGGAAATGGGTGCCGATCATTAAGTATCTAAGGATTATTTATTATTCTCCACACGAACACAAATAATATCGATGTAATATGAAGCTGAGTTAAAGTTAAGTTCAATGATTGATCGACAAAAAGGATGGTTGTGAAATCTTGGAAAAATGTTGGTTACTATGAGAGTATTATACTATTTTGTCTTTACGAATAATTCTTTAATATTAATAAGTCTCACATCATTTGACGCGCTCTCCCTTTCTCCACTATTTGCCTGTCAGAGAGAAGGAAGCTCTTGGAACAAGGGAGAACTTCCCCTCTCTCCATCTTTCCAGATCTGAAATGAGGGAAGGAGGGAGCACTCCCTCTCTCTTTTGTTATCTATGGTTGGTGAAGTTCGTCATCGAAGATTGGCAATGGTGGTAGGTGATGAAAGAGACGACTACTGACGTGATAGCTTCACCGGAGGAGGGGAGGTAGAAGAAGGTGGAAGGAAATTGAATAGATAATTCAAAAAAAAAAGTGTCATTAAAAAAACATTAAATTAATATATTTATGAAATCAACAAAATAAAATCTATAATTTAACTGCCACACCATTTTAACATCAGTACGGTCAATTGCTTAATGACTATTTAGAATCATATCTCATACAGCACTAAAAGTTAAAAATCAAATAGACACACTTCAAATTTCATAAACCAAAACATTATTTTTCCCTTAATTATTTTATTTTATTAAGCACAAGTATAAGTGGAGAAATTGAACTCAAGATGGAATTTTATAGGTTGAAATTTCAGTTTTTGAAATTCTATTCTAGACAACTTCTCGCACTTCCTGCATATTTCACCTGATAAAAGTAAAACAAATTCACTGCATACATGATGATGTAAATCCCAAGTTATAAATTTTGACATAACTCCCATTCAACCTGGGAAAAATTATCTGCACAACTTCAATAAATAAAATAAAATCCAATATTTAACAATAAAGAAAAAGTTATCCAAATCAGAACTAAAAGTTTATATTAGTTATCCCAATTTCGGCCTAGCTAATCTCCCTGGGAGATCTAAGATCTAAAAATCATACATCTGTCAAGATTATTGAAGATACAATCACAACATAAGCCAGAAAAAAGAAAAGTGCAAGTTGAACGAAAAACTTTGGGTTTTCCCTCATGTTTGGGGATGTAACGGCCCTGCAAGATTGAGATACTTTTTACAATAAATTCAAAGCAAGATGAGAAACCCACAGCTCCAACCAATTCTGACAGTAATTACCTTGCAATACGCTGAGAAAGTCGTTGAAACGGCAAACTCTGGATGAAGACCATGCCTGGTCCTGTTAATGTGGCTGTCACTAAATTGTCACCCTGCAAATAACGACCATGAGATGCCCTTAAAAAGTGACAAATGTGTTAAAGGTCTACTTGAGGCTTAAAAATGAGAGCTGAAATTGTTGTACTAAATTTCCATCTTTATAGCCATAAGGTTCTATTTTTTTTATTTTTCTTAAAGGAAAAAAAAATGAAAGAAGGTGAAAGAAAGGAGAACAAGATATCGACCCTAGTCGAGCCAATGAGTACTATTAGACACATCCCAACTGGCGGCGCGGAGTATAAAGAGGGACTAAAATTACAGAAAGCATGGCTCTATCGTCATAATCTGAAAAAAGCATAACATATAATGTCTTTCTAGTAGCAAGATCTGGCTTTTGCGTATATAAGAGCCCCAGAAATCCAATTTATTGCACGGCCAACGAAGAGAAGATATAGAAAGCCAAAAGCAAACGCAATAAACATAGAGAACTCTTACTCCAAATACTGCTCTTCTAACAGGACCATTGTATTTGATTTGGACATCAATAGTGGTGGTCAAAGCCACGATGCAGGAGATATCCACGGATAGTACTTCACCCACCTCCAGATTTTTCTGTACAACTAGCAGAAACCGAAAAGTTTTCATAATTAGCTGACATATATCATAAATTATTTGTGAAGGAATGAAAAGTTTTTTCTTCAAATAAAAATGCGTATTTTGAATTGTCTAAAGGCTGAAGCATAAAGTCCGTTGTATCTTGAAGATCAAAATAAATATATCAATATAGATAATGTGATCTCCCTTTCCCTTCTTGCCATTGTATATATCATAGCTGGTAAACTATGAACCATAGATCTCCGAGGAAAGGACAAACTTCAGAGATTTAATTAATATTACAGAAGATTACTCCATCTGACTTTGCACAATTTAAGGTGGCAGTCGTGTTTGACACCATAATCAGAATGGAAATAGATCTTAATAAAAAAATGAACATTTGGGATGCTCTAGCCAACAGGTCATATAAAAAAAAATAGAAATTCAGGCTTCTTTTCATGATTGCATAACAGATGCAAGCAGGTCCTTCGGAGAATTTGCTAAATAAAATGTGAAGTGAGAAGCACATACCCGATCCACCCCCAAGAATAAAGGCAAGTCCTTGGCCTGATAACTTCTGTCTAAGAAACCCCTAAAATAACATCAAGAGTAGGAAGAGGGAAAAAAATAAATAACTATGGAAAGGCATAAAATTAATACCGGAAAGCAGAGATGCATGCAGGAGTTTAGCCAATAAGAAATAATAAATCAACTCACCTCCACACCTGTTATCACATTGCGTACTCTGGGATCAACTGTGTTGTTAACCTTCACATCATTAACAGAGCAAAGGAATGCATCTGGCTACGTATCAAGAAGAAATGAAGCGAAGATTATCAGGCAATGGATCCCAGAAGACAAATTGAATAACTGAATTGTAGACAACTAAAATTCCAATGTGTTAACTGTTAAAACATATAGATGTTGGTCTCTTTCAAACAAGCGGAGGGGAAGGGGGACAGTGGTAAATCATTTATTAAGTAAAATAACACAGAGAAACTACTAAGCAGAACAACAAAGAGAACAATATTCCCTACCTGGCATAGAAGCTGTCCACCAAACATTGCCATATCAATCTGCAACATAATTGTATAAACATATATGACATCAAAGAGAAACTTGGAATGTTCTAAATTGGAACTAAAATCAGCTAATGTGAGATTTTTTCAACAAAGCACAAACCGGAAGAATCCTAGCAAGAGAAGGTGCAGCAATCCCAACGTATCCATCACTTGTACCAGAATTACGAAGTACAATGCTACTGACACTCTTGCCAAATAGCCAATGCCAAACACCCACTTCATTTTCAGGGAGATAAACATTTTCCATCTCAATAGACCCAGACATGAAGCACATAGAGCCTGCAAGAATAAGTGTATCAGTTTCATATACAATTAATAGGTAACAAAGAAACTAGGGACCTCTCTATAATTAAGTTAAAAGATTACCAATTGTCTCAACTATAAGGAAACCTCCGTTCCAACTTTTTGAAACAAGGAAAATTTTCAACTCTATAATTGAAACCAAGTTTCGCATAAACATTTGTTAAGATATCATATATGAACTAAATTTACTCAACCCATCCACTTAAGCTTTCGGATTGAGTGATAGTTTATTCAGCCTTAACATGGTATCAGAGTAGAAGGTCCTGTGTTCGAACCTCTTGCATTGTTATTTCTTCCCCATTTATTATGATTTCCATTTGTTGGGTCTTGTTGTAATTTTTCAAGTCCACAAGTGAGGGAGGAAGATTGTTAAGATATTCACATATGAATTAAATTTACCCAATATATCAGTTTAAGCTTTTGGGTTGAGTGGTGGTTTATTCAACTTTAACAACATTAATAATAAACGGGTTGAGTGGCAGTTTATTCAACTTTAACAACATTAATAATAAGTATAGTTGAAACAGCAAATAAAGAGCATTAGCAAATCATCAAGTTGGCAATGTTCTGTATATCTAGTGCCATTGTGTATTAACAAATCATTAACAAATGTTCTGTATAATATTCTAAAAGCTCAATTACACTGCTTACCGGGCCTTGCAATAACCTTCTCCTGCGGCTTCAGCATTATCTGCCAATGAAAGATGCACAAGAAAATAAAGAGATGCAGTACTTGAAGAAACACAATAAATATGGAAGTATAGATGAATAGTTAACCATGGTTCCACTATATGACATATAATAATCATAATATAATATACCTGTACTACTTGGGCTTCACCACCCAAAATTTGAAAAGGTATCATTGCATCTTGTGGGCTCTACAATATGATATAGAACAAACTACCGTTAGTAAAACAATAGTAATCAAGATCATACACTAGAGTGCAATTCAATAAAACTTCATGAGTACTATTAAAATTTAATTAAAATGTCTTAATATTATAGTTTGAAAAAATCTGTTCAAGGTGATCTCTACATTATGCGGGAGATAAATTCTATTCTAAGCCATTCATATTTTTCTGCTTTAAATAGGATGGCATCTAATATGTTCTCCAGCAATATTTTCTCTCCCAAATATCTCAAAATAGTATCTCCCAAAGATATCAAGAGAGTACAAAATAAGATATCCATGCAATCGAATCATCAACAGCCTTGCAGAGGAATCACTTTAGAGATAAGTTCATACTTACTTTCCCTATCCAACAGAAATATTTTATCACTTAAAGATTCTAGAGAGCACAAAATAAAGGTAAAGAGCTATGCAGTGCAATGCTCCAGGAGTAAGGTTATACTCATTTTCACAATCCTAATCCCATCATCTCGCAGGGGCCCCTACACCCTTTCATTTTCACAGGAGTATTTCTGACCTTGCTTTTCATCTTTTTCAAAAGTAAGAACTTCTATTTCCATTGAAACAATATAAGATCTATTCTCTCTCATTACAAGCATACTACAATTTCAGAAACTTTCCTATTACCTTTGTATGACTCACGTGACAATTTGGAAATTTCAAATTTCATTGACCTCGGCTGTTAATATTATTGTTACTAGTGTAATTTGGACTATCATGAGTGTCCCAGCTAGCTTATACACACTCCAATAAATCCTATGGGATAACTGTCCAACTTTGGAACATATGACATTAGAAAATTTGTAAAACATTTAATATCTAGGTGGGTAACTAGCATGGTTTGAGTCATGACCTAAAAAGATTATGAGCTTACAGCTTGTCTCTAGGACTGCTAAGCCGACTTAGAGTGGTTATTGGCCTGTCATCAACCCCAACCTGTAATTGTATCACTTCTTTTAAGATTTGTTGCCATATCACCAAATAATATTCAATATTGTAATAGCTGTCATTGGCCAATGTCTACAATTTTCTTTTCGTTTTTTGTTTTTAAATTGACGACTAGACTAAATATTCACAATGTTGGATTATGCCATTTCGATTAAATAATAAGTGTAATGTACAGCCTGGCCTCTTAAAACTAGCTATTGGAGTGGGCAAGACCCATTTGGCACGGATGAGGTATTATAGCTAGACTATAACAACTTTATCTGACAGTCTACAGCCTTCGGGAGATAAGTTAGATGGTGAGATCCAATCCAAGGACTAATATGTGAGGACTAGGAGAGATTGTTGGGTTATACCACATTGGTTGTACATCGCGTTTGATTTGGATTTGTAAATGCTCGAAAGTCTTGCCTCTTGAGCTAGTTTCTGAGGTAAAAAGGCCCATTTGGTACCATCATATAGTTATCATACCTCAAACCTATCTACCATACCTGCTCACTCCATGACCCAGTGTATTAGACTTAGGAGAAGAGAATAATGTATAAATTCTCTTATTGAATCAAAATGATTGCATGGTCCTTTATATACACAACTTAACAAAACCAAATAACTAACTATAAGAAACTAACTAACTAACAAAACCAAATAACTAACTATAATAAGAAACTAACTAACTAATCATACACTAGATTAGTTATATTCTAATACTCCCCCTCAAGATGGAGCAAAAATATCAATCAAACCCATCTTCGACATACAACTTTCAAGAACAGTAGCAGACAAAGGCTTGGTGAAAGCATCAGCCAATTGCAGAGAAGAGCGTATACACATTAGCCGAATGGAACCATCAAGAAGCTTTTCCCGAACAAAATGGCAGTCAAGATCAATGTGTTTTGTGTGCTCATGAAAGCTGGAATTAGAAGCCATGTGAATAGCTGCATCATTATCACAGAAAAGAAGAGTTGGAGGCACAAAAGAGATCTGTAATTCAGTCAAAAGACTAATCAACCATATAATCTCTTATGTGGTGGCTGCTAAGGCTCGATACTCTGCTTTAGCTGAAGACCGGGAGATGGTGGATTGCTTCTTAGCTTTCCATGAAACCATGGAACTGCCCAAAAATACACAGAAGCCGGTGGTAGATCTTCGAGTATCAACACATGATCCCCAATCCACATCTGAAAAGGCTTTCAGTTGGAAGGAATCAGAGGTAGATAGTAAAATGCCACAACCAGGGGCCTTCTTCAAATAGCGCAAGAGATGGTACACAGCAGCAAGATGCTTTTAACCCGGACGTGAGACAAACTGACTAAGTTTGTGGACTGCAAAGGTTATGTCAGGCCGTGAGATTGTCATATACAAAAGTTTACCAATAAGCTACCTATATAAGGCAGGATCAACAAGAAGATCAACATATGAAGCGGCCTGCAATCTGAGATTAGGACCCATAGGTACAGAAACTGACCAGCAACCAAGCAACCCTGCATCTTCCAACAAAGTTAATGTGTATGACGTTGGGAAAGAGATATCCCAGTAGAAGTCTGTGCTAGTTCAAGTCCGAGAAAGAACTTTAAAGATCCTAAGTCTTTTAAGTTTAAAATGTTGATGAATAAGAGATTTCAATTCATCAACTAAAGCAAGTGAAGCCTCGGTAATTATGATGTCATCTACATAGACCAAAAGGGCTACAAATGAAGAATAATTGCCACGGATCAACAATGAGGAATCAACTTTGGACTGGAAAAATCCCAAGGACAAAAGAGCATCATAAAATTTGGTGAACCATTGACGTGAAGCTTGTTTGAGTCCATATATGGATTTATAAAGACGGCAAACTAACCTCTCCCCCTTACTAAGAACAATACCATGTGGCTTATACCCGAGAGGTAGGTCCATATAGACTTCCTCAAAGAGATCTCGATTGAGAAAAGCATTATTCACGTCTAGTTGAATAAGAGGCCAATTCTTAGAGACGCCAATGGTGAGAAGAACCTTCACAGTTACCAACTTAGCCACTGGTGAAAAGGTTTCAAGAAAATCCAATCCTTCACGTTGAGTGTAGCCCTTGGCAACCAAACGGGCTTTATACCTTTCAATAGTGCCATCCATACAATGCTTCACCTTGTAAATCCATGTACAACCAATTCTCAAGTCTTATTAACTTCCATTGCACCAAGTTCAGCTGCCATAGCCTCTCTCCAATGAGGATGACAAACTGCCTGATGGTAGAATTGAGGCTCATCATGAGCAGATATGGCCGTGGACAAGGAGAAATATGATGGTGATAGACTGGAATAAGACACATATTGATGCAAAGAATGCTTAGTACTCAAATGAGGCAAAGAATGCTTAGTACTCAAATGAGGCAAAGAATCACCATTTAAAAGTGCACAGTGATAGTCCCTGAGATACGAGGGAGGTTGAGAAATTCTGGTAGACCGACGAACCACTGGAACTGGAATATCAACCAAAATAGGATGAACTATGAAGATCTGCAGTAGAATCATCTGCAGTAGGTGTGGCCTTAACAGGTGCAGTTGAAACAGAACCTCCAGTAGAAGGTAAATCATCATCTGACAAAGGCAGAGTGGCTGATGATGGAGACTGAGAATCAGCTGCTGTATCAAAAGGCATAGGTAAAACTATGTTTGGAAATGGATCAAAAGTAGTAGTGGATGAAGGCTCCTCATGAAATAGAAAAATGTCCAACATGAGATGAAAAACTTTTTCTGTTGAATATCATAGAGGCAATACCCTTTTACACCAGCCGGATAACCAACAAAAACAGCCTTAGAAGCTCTTGGATCAAACTTGGTACGATTATGAGTTAATGTAGAAGCATAGCATAATGCACCAAAGACCCTAAGCACAGAATAGTCAGGGGCAGGGGCATCAGGGCATGTCCATATAAAGACTGATATGGTGTTGACCAAGAAAGAGATGGAGAGGGGGTATGATTGATCAAATAGACTGTTATCAATACACATTCCCCCAAAAAATCAATAGGTACTCTCGACTGAAAATAAACAGCTCGAGCTACAGTCAGTATGCGTTGGTGTTTTCTCTCAACAACTGAATTTTTTTCCGGACGTGCCACACATGACAACTGATGTATAACCCCCTTTGAATGAAAAAAATTCTTTAAACAATAGTTCAGGGGCATTGTCTGATCGTAAAACTTTGATGCAAGCATTAAACTGAGTTTCAACATATGCAAAGAGACGGGGTACAACAGACAGAACATCAGATTTATGCCTCAATAAAAAGATCCATGTAAATCTACTACAATCATCAACAAGAGTGAGGAAATATTTGTAGCCATGGTGAGTAGAATGTGCAAATGGACCCCAAATGTCAGCATGAATCACATCAAAACAATTGGCAGCTTTATTATTGTGTGACTCAAAAGACAAACGCTTTTGTTTTGCCAGGGGACATATGGGACACACATGATCCTTACACAGATGGACATCAATAAGAAGAACATGATTCAAAGCATGCATCCGCTTAAATGAAGGAGGTCCCTTGTTATGCCATGTAGTAAATGAAACTTTAGCAAGAGAAGAGTGACAAACAGTAATAGGAGATTGTCCAAAAGTAAAAAAGGACGAATCCCCAAGAATGTAAAGGTCATTGTGTAGACTACCCTTGCCAATCGTCCTCAAAGTGGACTTGTCCTAAAGAAGACAAGAACCATTAGCAAATTCAATTGTCAACTGAGGCATGTCCTAAGCCAAAGTGCTAATGGATATAAGTTTGAAACAGAACTTTGGAATGTAAAGAACATTATGCAAGAATAATCCATTAGAAAGTCTAACAGTGCCACTTAAATTAACCATAAACCGAGACTTGTCAGGTAGAACTGGTGGAATCGATGAGAAATTCATGAATTTTGACCGTCTGCAACAAATGTGCACAGATGCACCAGAGTCAAGAATCCACAAGTCTGTAAATGGTAAGGAAGAACAACCAGCAGTACCTATATGAAGTGGAAGCAGGATCAGAGGTAGTTGATGTAGGGGATGCTTTTGCATTACCGAATTGGGATTTCAAAAGTTGAAGAATTTGGTGGCACTGATTGACAACATCAGAACTAGCTTGAGACTCCAAAGCCTGAGGTTGAGAAGCAGCAATAGAGGCTGATGAAGAAGGCTTCTGATTAGAAGTGCGATATCCGGGGGATACCCGTGGAGCGTGTAGCACTTATCAATGTGTGGCCAAGCAGACCACAATGTGTGCAAAATGGACGTTCCTTTCTGTTCTTGGAGGTTGAATGAGGTTTTGGCGCATTCTTGCTATTGCCGGATGAATGTTGCACAGCTAGGGCAATAGAAGGAGCCTGAGCAGCAACGGACGAAACACCAAGGGATCGTTGTGGCTCTTCTTGATTAACAAGAGAAAAAGCTTTGTTAATCAACGGCAGCTGAGCATGAATATTCGCATAGGACTCATTTAGTCCCATGAGGAAATTCATCAAGTACTCGCATTGTAGAAAGTTTGTGGCCGATTTGGCGCCACCACACGAACAAGAACAGGAACAAGAGGGACGATACTGGCTCAATTCGTCCCATACTGTTTTGAGTTTGGTAAAGTAAAGACTCACAGACTGTTGGTTTTGCGAGAGAGTGGCAAGATCTCGCTTCAATTGGAAGATCCACAAGCCATTACTTTTCTCAAAATGTTCTTTTAGATCAATCCAAATATCTCAAGTAGACTCAGAGAATAAAATGCTCGAAGAGATTTTTTTGGAGACGGAGTTGAGGATCCAAGCAATGACAACGTGGTCGTTGTGGATCCAAGCCGGAAGTAATTCACCAGTTGGTCGAGTAATAGATCCCTCAATGAAACCTAATTTGTTCTTCACCGATAAGGCAATCAGCATCGATCGGCTCCATGATATGTAATTGTCTTCAGTGAGTAACTGAGTAACAAGAACCAATCCCGTATTATCCGTATGATGGAGGTAATATGAACTGAGAGGAGAATCAACACCCGCCGGAGATGTAGAAGATGCCGGAGATCCAGTCGAAAGCGGCAGTGACGGTGGTGGAGGATCCACCAAGGGAGGTTCATCGGAAATCGGATTCATGATTGAAGTGGTGAAATTGCAGCTAGTGCGCGCGTAAAATTTAGAGAGAGATTCTAAATTATCTCTGATACCATATTAGACTTAGGAGAAGAGAATAATGTATAAATTCTCTTATTGAATCAAAATGATTACATGGTCCTTTATATACACAACTTAACAGAACCAAATAACTAACTATAATAAGAAACTAACTAACTAATCATACACTAGATTAGTTATATCCTAATACAGTGAATGCATCGTTGTGATACCTTGAACTACATTTTAAAGAATTGAATCTAAACTCATGCACCTCAAGCACACACTGCAGTGATCAACTCGTCTTCTGAATTCGTTGTGTTGCCTTCTAAAAAAAAATAAATTAGACAACTAAGACACTAGTGACTAATAATCAAGAAGTGGAAGAATAATTCAGCAATTTGTACATTCCAGAAAAAGTTTGGTACTTGAAATCAACGTATCTAACATTTGGTCTGTGGGAACAAGTCGGGCAAGAACATAACTCAAAAGCGGTTCCCAATACCCAATGGAATCACGAAATTAAGAAACCACGAATTTATGATTTATTGAAGAAAAAAACGCCAAGAGTTCAAGACCAATGAGACTAAAAAGCAAGAAAAACCCTTAATCAAAAAAGAAAAAATGACGATGAGGAAAAGCAAGCTAAACTGAGAAAGAAAGCATATAATCAACATTTCTATTTCTTCTTCCTGAATTTTCCAGAAACCAAGCAGGATCCAAAATCGACTTAAAATTATTAACAGTCAAAAGAGGAAGCAAGAAGGAGAGAGCACCTGGTAAACATAAGGTTGAAACGGCGTCGAGAAGAACGGAGCAGCCATATCTGAGAAACAGTCGGTTCTAAATTACCAGAAATCGAATTGAAAACAAATTGCTGAACTCTACAAAAATCTACGCCACCATTGACGCGCCCGAGTGGCAATCACGAAACGAAAATTCACAGAGAATTTGAAACAGAGCTCTTGGATTGTATGGTGTATCCCCAATCACAATCAGGCCATGATCTTAATTTTATTTTTTATTTCGAATAATTTTTTGGGCGAAATAAGGAGAATCGTAATTACTAAACTAACCTTGCCTGCACTTATTAATGGTCGTGGAATTTTGCAAATAAACGCGGTCTCGTGATGGCTTATGTGTCAATTGACGGACAAATTTCGGGTTTAAGTTTTGTTTATTGGTTCGGATTCTTGCTGGCATATAAGTTTCAATGGTGGAGTCCACGTGGAATACTGTAATGACGTGGCGATTAGTTATTGGTTTAAGTGTGGTCTCCTACGTGTTGGATGACACGAAAGCAAACGCCGGTGTCGGCGTGTCACGTAGCCGTATGGGAAACATTTCGGTCTACTATACGACGTCGTTGACATGAAAGGCCAGTTTCGGCCTCCTCCACATAATCTGATGGGCCGGCCCATGACGGACTTCTCAAATGTAATAAAAAGGGAAGATATATCTATAGGATTTTTTTTAATAATGTTGTATTTTAAACTTATTCCAAATATATATCAACCAATCAACCAGTACTGCTCCAAAGTTTGGAATAAATTTAAGATAAAGCATTATTTAAAAAAGTTTTATATATCTAAATCTATACTATATTAATATTAATATTAATATATTAAAAAGGAATAATGTTTGAAAAATATTTGTAGACTATTATACCTTTCCTTCAATTTATAAACATGCTATAGAAAATTAATGGTAGACAAATAAATTAATTAATTATGAATAATAAATATTTACTTAATTATCAACCATAGCAATTAAATTGAATCCAAAATGTTGGGATATGTAAAAAGTTGTTATTTAATTTATGAAAGCTTAATTATTTTCACTGATAAAATTTCAAAAGTGGTAGAATTTCAAAAGATTTATAACTTTTTCATCTTATATCTATATAAATATACATTTTCTTCCATCATTTTTCACCATACTGAAGCTACATTTTGTCATTATTTTTTGTTCTTTCTTATTTTCTTGTTTTCAAAATCTCTTTAATCTTGAAAGCAACTCAAGACGTATCTGATACGCTCAAGTTGAAATGAAATTTATATATCGTACATGTATCTTGATTTGTAAGTTTGTGTGATTATAATTTTAGTTTGATGAAATTAAATAATAACGTTTGTCTAACAAGACCAATCTATTTTCAAGGTTGTGTGTATTGCTTTAGTATTTAATTTTTTTAAATTCTGTTACTATTGTTTTGTTTTTGTTATTTTATAATTGCTATATTATTATATTTTTTTTGTTTGCATTTGTTAATATTTGTTATAATTAATATTATTATGTTATTTTATTTAAAATTCTTGTGCATATTTTAATTTTAATTTGGTAACTCAAATGTTTTATAGCTTCAAATTTCATGAGAAATTTAGCATATTTATTAGATATTGAAAAAATATTTTTAGATTATTATAATCTTTTTTAATTTATAAATTTACAAAAATGTCATAGAAAAAATAATTGTAAATAATAAATTAATTAAAAATTAAAAATAATAAATATCAACCTTGCATGGAATATAAAAAGTTTTTTTTAGGAGAACAAGGAATCTAAAAAAATAGAATAGGTAAAAAGTTGTTGTTTAATTTATGAAACAGCTTAATTATTTTCATTAATAATAATTAATAATAAAATTTCAAAATTTTCAAAAATTTTCATCATCTACTAATATAAATAAGCATTTTCTTCTAAATTAATGATAAATAATAAATTATAAATAGTAAATATCAACCTAAGAATTTCACAAAATCTAAAAAGTTTGTTTTTTAGAGCAACATGAAATTTAAAAATTAAAGTTAGAATAGGTAAAAGGTTGTTATATTTAATTTAGGAAAGAGTTTAATTATTTTTACTAATAATAACTTATAATAGAATTTTAAAAGCTTTAGAATTCTAAAAGATTTGTAACTTTTCATCATCTACTAATATAAACATACATTTTCTTATATCATTTTTTACCAACACTTTGAGCTACACCTTTTTTTAATGAGTTCTCTCTTATTTTTTTTGCTTTAAAGCAATTCAAGAGTCAAGACATACATGCTAAGCTCAAGTTAGCACAAATTTATATATTAAAACTATATTCTAATTCCCGAGTTTATGTAGTTATAATTTTACTTTGATAAAATTAAATAATTATTTTTTTCTATCAAGATAAATCTATCTTCAAGAATATGTGTATTGATAGTTTTTTTTACTATTATTTATTTTTATTTTTGTTATTATATAATTGTTATATAATTGTATTTTTTATTTATTAATATTTTATAATTTGTGTTATAATGTTTTTTTATTTAAAATATTTGTGCATGTTTTAATTTAATTTGGTAACTCAAATGTCAGATGGGTTCAAATTTTATAAGAAATTTAGCATCTTTGTTAAAATATTTAATAATATTTTTTGGTAACAATAAAATAATTTAAATACATTAACTTAATTATTCTTTTAACAAAATTATATAATATTTGAGGTAAGTATTAGATAAAAATATTTATATCAAGATGAAATATTAAAAAAAATATATGAGTTCATTAAGATTTCTTATAAACTACCATAAAATTTATAATTTCCAATATAATAATTTTCCTCTCCCTAAAAAGTTAAGAAATATATGTATATTTTTAACCCTAAAATATAACTATATTTTTTTTAATAACAAAATAAGATGTAGGCTAATATAAAAGATTAATAATTTTATGAATGAAAATAGGATGAATCAACTTTAATTATTAATAAAATTATAAATTGTATTATATTAGATACATAAATGTGCATGACATATAGTAACAAACTAGTATTATAAAAGAGAAGATACATAGGTCGTGTGAGGATCTATTTCTACATTGACCACCATTGACAGTTCATTATTTTTTAAAATAGAATTTATGTTCTTGCATTTTTTTGTTAGTTGTTAAACATTTAATAGTGGTAAGTATAATTTAAGTTTTTACGAGTAAATAACTAAATATTTTCCTTATAAGTATAACATGAATTTGTATATTTTAGTTGTAAAAAACAGCTAACATGAATATAACTCAACTAGTAATAATATTACTTACCTTCCAAAAGTTGAAGTTTCAAATATCTCGCCTGTTTTAAACTAAAAATTAAAATGGTTGTAAAATTATAATTTATGCTTTTTTATTTGTTGTGATATGAAATAGAAATAAATAAATAAAACTATGAACTTGTTGATTAATATCTCAGTAAACTCGTAGCTTCAAATAGATTCATGTTTTTTATTTAGACAAAACTTAATGTACTCTCCAATTTAATTAAATTTTCTTACATGGTAAAAAATTTAGTATAAAAACTATAACCATTTATATATTGTGTATGACATGCTTTGAATTTAAATTAGTATGAGTTGATGTAGGAATCTGGCCTCTTGAAATTCTGTCAAATTCGTATCAATCTTCTAAAATAAAGGGATTAATGAGACCTACAGAATAGACTAGCACCAAGACCAGCGTGGCTCTTGCCACACGGGCTTCGATGCTTAAGTTAGGATTAGTACCTCTAGGGTTTGGTCTCTCATCTTATTTATAGGGATTTCTCTCGATATCTTTGTGGAGATCTTCTCTACTAGGCTTGCCCTACTCTTGGTCGATTAGAGTGTTGAATCTGTGGCCCGTTTGGGCTGGACTATGTAAAATGGCTGGAGAGAATTGATAGGAGTTCTTAGTCCACAGTCGAGAACTGCTCGGCACTAAACAGGGTCGATGCCGAGCCCTGGTTGGCCCAATTGATATGGGTTTCTCGTCATCTGCTCGGTCGACTCGTGTAGTTGGGGGCTCTTTTATATTCGGTCCAAGTTCATCTTCTTATCCTTTTGTCGAGTCTCATTAATTTAGCCCATAACAATTGCCTCCACTCTCTAGATTGTGATTATTTTATCAGTCAGATTCACTATCTTGAGAGCAACTTTGTTGGAGTGGGCCTCAAATGCAGATCTTTGTTGCAACTTTGGTTTCAATGGATCGATTGATTGATCCATTAGCCATAGACCATCTAGCAAATACCGGACCTGACAAGATGGGTACCGTCAGACGCGTGACTAATCGAGTAGGGCTTGGTCATACCTATAGCCGAACAGGTTAAGGTCTGACACCTGACCGAGTATAGCTCAACTAGACTTGTGACCGAGCACCCGTGACCGAGCAGGTCACAGCAGGTTAACCTTGATCTGATTTGTTAAGAGCCTCAGTCAGACCCGTGACTGAGCAGTGCTCGGGTTGCGTATGCAGTTGGGGCTACAAATGGCCTTCATTTCATCCTTTGTTGATGTCCATGCTCCTTACACTCCAGGGTAATTTTGCTCTATCTTTTTCCTTTCTTTCTCACCTCTATGAGAATCGGATAGTAGCTTGAATATTGAATGGACTACTTCGGGTGATGAATTTTATTCAACCCCATCTTCTGAGTCGGGATTGTATCGACTCTCATGGCTTGACAATTCTACTTTCACTGAGAACGATCTCTGTCGCTTTCATGCATTCCCGAATCTATTAGCCTTAAACTTCCATCTCCTGGCGAGAGTATCATTGTACYYATAGCTGGAGAGGTTGTATTTTATGCCGCGATGTTTAAGTTTGGTGTCTGCCTACCTCTCCTTCATTTTTTACAAAATTTTATGGCTTTCAACCAATTAGCTCCTTGCAAATTGTACAGAACGATTGGTCTACCTTGATAAGTTGCTATATCTTGTGGTATTACTTGGGCTACGATCACTCATTGACTACGACTACCTTCATGCCTCTTTATTACTTGAAGCATAGCCCTGAAAATAATCTCCATTTTTATGTTAGTTCTCGGAACCAGCCTTTGATCTTCGATCCTTCCTCTCTAAAAAATTGGAAGGACGAGTAGTTCTTTGTCGGTGGTGATTGGCTTGTTTGGGATGACAATAAGCTGCATTTTTCGGTCCCGACAGTGTGTAGGGAGTTAGGTGAGTAGTTTCCCTGGTTCTATCGGGACTAAAATTTTTGCTT